TGTAGCTTCCTCTCTCACAGATGGATTATCCAAAGGTTAATGAGACACAAGCAGTGACCTGAAGTTCTCCTCTCCCTGGGACATCCACAAGCGTCTTCCCTGCTCTCCCTCTGGACTCCCAGTTACCTCCGCTCACACAGCCTCCCCTCTCCATCCTGAAGTAGGTTTCTCTCTTGAAGCCACCCGCTCATTACCATGACACTCAAAGGCTATTATTATCTCTGATACTGCACTTCCAGCCTAGCAGACACCACCCCAGGGGTGGCAGAGGTTCAGGACCTGCACAGGAAAGGGGGAGTAACCGAGAGATCCATTGCAGAATTTTTTTCCTAAGGCTGATGTGAGTCTATATCCAAACAGTGTGTGAGAGGCATAAACCCAGAAAAGGAAACTCTAAGCCAAAACTCTACATTCAACTTTTGCCCCTATCCTGTCAAGGAAACCAGGTTCCTTTACCATTAACAAGGCTCAGCCAAGCCAGGCTATTCCCTATTCAAGCAGGCTGAAATCAACTTTGGTGCATATAGTTAATGCCTAAGCATTTTGCTGTATGGTAAACATTTCATCTTAGCGAACCACAGAGTCTACAGGGTAACAGTGTTGCCAGCAATAGTTTCCATTATCAATACTAATCTTAAAAAGGAAAATCTACTATATAATTTACTATTATCAAACTTCTTTGTTTTTCTTTTTATTAAATTTTAAGGGATTTTGCCTACTTTATAAGAACGCTTCTCCAATTTACTCAAGAACAGTATATTAAAAATTGCCACTTTATCCCTTTATGCGTTTTTCTCCCCTCAAGTTCATGTTGTCTATGCACTTAAGTGTTCAAAAGGAGGGAAGCAAGGACCTTCCAGGACAGATTACACATGGGGTCCTACAGCAATGCAGACAAGACCCAGTTGTTATGTTCTGTCAGTGCCTGCTAAATATGCCAGCACCCTACAGTCTGACTTTCAATTAACAGATCACCAGTAAATGGTCCGCAACAGATCTCCAAGGCTAATTTAAGGTATTGGAACTGAAACAAAAGAAACACAGAAGGTCCAGAATGATTTTTTAAGATGGGCCATACCACAGACAGGTCTGTTGCACATGCTCCTCAGAAAACACGACATAACCAGAACCTTGTTTAGATATGAAAGACAAAATTTGTCCTTGCTGAAATAATGAAAATGTTTGATCAGCTGCAAAATATAACTAGAAAGAAGAAAGCTGAAAATTCACACTGACTCCAATATGCAACTTAGTCCAGTTTATAACCTCAATCCTTTTTTTTTTTTTCTTCTTTAAACATCAGTGCTTTCTGTACACGCCCAAGTATAGCTGACGCATCTGTAGGTAATTTGCTTTTCTGGTGATGAGTCATAACAGAATTTAACACCAAAGAATAAAGACGTAGCCTTATGCAAAGGCCAAGTTTACACACCACTTTGCTGCAGTTCTCTACACAGGTATCTGGGCTTCACATATGCCATGAAAAAAAATTTATCGTATTTGCGGTGAAACCAAGTTCAATTTGTAAGTTGTGAGTATTGATGGTATACATTTTATATATACATGCGTATATATGAAGACACAAGTTGCCGCAATATGGAATTACCATTACACCCCCAATTCCCACAATACCACAGTAGTGGCTATAAGAAAGTTGTGCAAAAGATCAGAAAAGAAGTACCCAGCCAGGCTGCAACAGGTCACCCTTTTTTCCCCAAATACCAAAGCATCCTCAATATAATTAACTCACCCAGTGCAAGAATTACAGGTCAGACAGAGTACAGGGCTGTGCACGTGACATATGTGTGAATATTCAAACACCACCAACCACCAAAAACCCCAAACACTTTACAGGAACCCTGCAAATCTCAGTGTGATAAGGTGCAATGTCACAATACAAACATACTTAACAATGATTCACAAGATTTCTTACTTGGAGGAAAATGGTTATTAATTAAACCTCTGTCAGGGGAGCTGATCTGGGATTCTAAGCACAGTGGATAAGTTATAATGAACTTTTAATAGCTCCCATGAAGTTCAAGTTTATCATGGCTTTTACTGTATACTGTATGTACTTACACAAGTGGAAGAGAATTGAAAAGAGTCAGCACACTAGCCAACATTTAATTATCATTCTGGATTTTATTTTTTCAAAAAAAAAAACCCCAAGGCCCTCCCACATTTATTCAGTGTTAAGTTTACATTCAATTTCTTTTAAGTCACTTAAAATCAGTAGTTTAAAATATATACAAGTGTTCCCCAAACTTTCAAAGTCTAACAGAACAGAAAATCTTTCAGAGTTTCAGATTTTCCAGAAATCTGTACACACTGAAAAACAAGTGGATTGGAGTATTTCTGTAGAATTGCTGCAACTCAGTTCAAAACTAGTGGAACTTGAAATGGCAAGGTTTTTTTTTTCTTCTCTCGCCACCCCCCAACCTTTTTTATTCCCATTGGGAACAAATTTAATTTTATTTATTTATTTTAGGGCCAGTTTATTTACTTTTGCTTCCCCCCCCCCTTTGTTTTTAAATAACCACAAAAATAGAGTGGGAGGTGGTGGGTAGAAGGAAGAAGGGTTCAAATACATACAAAGAGAATAACTTTTCAAACTTTAAGAGGCAGATTCACTTAGCCTTATTGCTTAAACAGATAAGGAACACTTTGAATGTCAGTTTTAACATGAAGGTAGTTCTTTACATGAAATGTAGTTCTTGCCAAGTCCTAAAAAAGTTAATTGTATAAAAGTTGCATAGTCTATATTCACACCATTTAATTACTTTCATCTGAGGAAACATGCATTGCACATACAACTTGTGCTCTACCATGTAGGAGAACTCAGGCCTTTTTCCTGTCATTTCTATTGAATGCAACAGTTTGCAGCAAGCTTTTCACGAAAGCACATACTTAGTATAATTTATTGCCCCAGTACATAATGACTGGCTGCCTTTTAAAATTTGATAAATGGTTTATAACTTGTAGGTCCACAAAAGAATTCCTTGCTGCAGAGTGGAATGGAATTTTTCAGGAATGTCTCCCTTATATAGTAAAGAAATTCCCTTTTTCCAAAAAAAAAAAAAAAAAAAAAAATCAGCTTGGGGCGAGGGGAAAAAAAGAAAGAAAAAAAATCAAATTGCAAGTAACCTCCTAAAAATAAGTTGAAGGCTTAAACCAACCCACGCCACACAGTGGCAAGCATTTTTAGCATGATTCAATGCTACATCCACAGCTCCGAATTTTATTCTTCTGTTCCCCTTCTATCTCAGCCTGCTTCCACCCAAACCTCTCAACTCTTTAAACCCACTAAGATTCAAGAATACGTCTCAATTTACTTTTGCTTTATTTTTGGCAAATTTTCACTTATTCCAGGTCTCCCTTTTAAACCTTCTACCTACTAACACCTGCAGCAAATGCACACCTACTACATTCCTCAAGTATCCAGATTCTTATTGCTCACTAGCTCAAGTTCCTACCTACCAGCCCCATGTCAAGAATTACTACACTGTGGCTACTGAAGAACATTTATCAATTCAGTGAAAGTAATCAAAGAAGCTGGAATGCCTGAAACACTAAGATAAGCATTCAACTTAAATCATACAAAGCTAAAAACACACATACTAAACACAAGATTTTTTTTTCAAGTACACAATATATATATATATATCACATCTACTGTCTATAATCACACTCGAAACAGATTAGTGACATGATTCAAGAATCAATATTCTTCAAAACTCAGCATAACAGCATACAGAAAACATTCTAAATAAGTTGTTCTGTGAACCACCTAACCAACAAATCTTGATTTCCTCCAAGCTGCTCTTTGCCTTTTCAACTACCTTCACTTCAGGAATTCCAGCTTCCCAATCTTACCCGAGGTCTCCCATGGTACTATTGTGACTAGAAAAAGGCAGCGTATGCTGCATTATTTCAAAACTCTACCTAGAGCTGATGTATGCCAGCTGTTGCCAAAATACATGACACAAAATAAAACAGCCCAAGTTTTCCTCTGTATCTCCTTCCTCTACCCTGCTGACAGACCAAAAAAAAAAAAAAAGGGTACATAGTACAGTCACATAAGGTATGTGTACCTCGGATGCCAGGCTTAACATGGAACAGCTTACACAGAGGCAATGTAAATATTAAATATGTAGCTAAGAAACAGCAGTAGCTAATGCAATTCTGCACTTTCTTTCCTTCTTCATTATCTTTAAACAGAATTCTTACTTGTAGCCATCCCTATTTCTTCCTATTTGTGGTACCACCAGCATGTCCTTGGTTCCACTGCTACCATACTCTTCTCTAATCGCATGAGAGCTCCTGACTCACCCTCATGAGGTAAGTTGTCCAGAATAGGCACAAGACTGCAAAACAGTGCCAAAGCCCATCTACTAAAAAACTTCCTTTTCTTCAATGCAATATAGCTAATTGTCACCCTGAAACCCTTAAAAGCATGTAAATTCCCAGAAAACTGCAGAATACTACAAAGCTTAAGATTCAGCTTTCCACATCAGTGTCGATTCAATCACATGCTACCGTAGCGTTACTTAGGGTCTTAGACACATTTGTTGTAATGTATCTGTAACATAGGTCAGTTAATTCCACTACAAGAACCTTAACTTTTACTTCTGTCAGTAAAGATTCTTTACTTTCATGCAACATTATCTTGCAGGTTTAACGTGTATAATTTTTTAAAGAAAAAAAAAAATCCCTCCTCAAAAGCCTTTGTTTTACCATAATCAAGACAGACCAAAGTAAGAAAATAACGGATCAAAATTTTACAAAAATAAAAGGCATTAGATCTGTATTCAACATTTTAGAAACTAAACCCCAGTATTTACTTTTGCTTTCCGTACAGTTCACCACAGCAAATATAGTTTCTACACCACTACAGATGCATCTGAAGACATTCCAAGGTATACAACCAAACGTCACTATCTGCTCACGCACATAAAAACCTTGGAGATCACAGTCCATTCAATTTGTACTACCGGCAGTGATTATTTCTCAAATTTCCAAATCTGATTTTTATCTGCAGCATTACAAGGTCTCATTTGCACATCAGCACGCCCCTCAGTTGTACGATAAGCAGTAAGGCACTTTCCCGAATGAGGATGATAAACAGTTCCATCTTCTTTGAAATGCCATATAATAATTTCTGGGACAGGAGATCCATCTTTTGGGCAGCTCCTCATACCTATGAAGTCCTCATGCTCAGGGACTTCAGCACATAGCTCAGTTACAGAGTTAAATCTAATCTCCTTATTTGATGTGTATTCAAAAAATTGATTGCCTCCCTGACCATGACATCCAAAGAGAGAAAGGTGAGCCCCAGTAGGGTGATGTTCTGGTAAGACGTAGTCAAGGCATTCTGAAGCTATTCCTGCGCTGCGGATAGCACCATGCCAGCCAGGACGATCTTCCGGTACATGCAACTCAGCAAATATGTTTTTTAAATACCAGTTAAAACTCTTGCATTTCAAACGCTCTCTTAATATCTTTCTTTCAGAAATATCTCCATAGTTTTCTTTTCTTGCTGAAGGATTTCTGTTGTAGAAGTGCTCTTTGTAGTCATCCATCCACACCTCAGCAGCACGTGCCGTGTTCTGAAGGAAATTCGGTCTAGCATAGGGTGCACGCTTTGGAAACACATGGCCTACATGGGAGCATGGATGAATTTCCAACATGCCTCCACACTGCCAAACCCTAAATGATAATTCTAAGTTCTCCCCGCCCCAAACATCCATTCCTGTATCGTAGGTACCCAGGTACTCAAAATACTTCTTGCTGACAGCAAACAAGCCACCAGCCATAGTTGGGGATCTGATTGGGTCGGTTTCAGATTTGCGCCTGAGACGTTCATGTTTAGGCACCGAGTGCCACTGGAATGTCAGCCGCCAGTCAAACCCCCCAATCATGGGCTCTGCTGTTTGCATGTAGTATTCAAATGTTTTCCAGTCAATGGTGTCAATGACAGGACAAACAATAACAGTCTCGTTCTCAGCAATCCTCTCGAGCAGTGGTTCCAGCCAGCCGGAGACACATTCACAGTGACAGTCTAGAAATGTGAGGACATCACCAGTAGCAAAGGTAGCGCCAATTAAGCGTGCACGAACCAATCCTTCTCGTTTGTTGGTTCTTATCAAACGAACCCTTTTCAGACTGCTTATGTATTTTTCAAGTTCAGTCTTCAAATACACTTTATCACTCAAGTCATCCACCAGTATAATTTCTTTTAGAAGCACTGAAGGTGATGTTTCAAGAACACTATGTATTGTCCGCAGCAATGTTGACCAGGCTTCATTGTAAAAAGCGATTATAACAGATGTCGTGGGCAGTCTTCTGTAGTCGTAAGATTTAGTTTTACATCCACTCAGTCGATTGTCTTCAATGTGCCGGTGGAGAGAGATTTTATCACTCAAATAAATATTAATTGCATACTTCTCAATCAGCTCTTCTTCTTGTTTTTTTTCCTCAGGACTCAGCTGCAGGCGAGAAGGCTTACCCCATTCTCCTGGGGCATAAGGATCAGGCGGGGATTTGTCATAAACTGGCCGAGCCAAATCCACAGCTTCTTCTGCTCTGTCAGAAAAGCGCCTCTCCCACTTCCCTTTGGTGATGCTCTCCCCGGCGAGGGAGGCACCGAAGGAAGAAACCGACAGCTCGACCACAAAGTAAGCGATCATCAAGAAGCCGAGAAACACGCAGGTTTTGCGGACCCACGTCCATCTTCTCGCCAGACGGATCCTCATCGCAGGCGATTAAAAGCAGTCCCTAGCAGAGAGGAGCTCCGTGGACTACTGCTGGCTCCCCCCACGCCCCCAGGACGGAGGGGGCTGCAGGCACTCCCAGCTTCGGG